AAGCAGGGAACCGATCATCACTAAGCGAAATTCCCCCATTTAGACCATCATTTTGCGATTGCAATTGCGATCTCAAAAACATCATCGTAAAGCGGATTCATCGTGATGCGGGGCGATCGTTAAGTGGGGCACGATTGTATTTGTATTTTAAACAATTGTGACGGCTTTTAGCCAATACAATAAACTTGAACTGAACTGACTACTCAGAAATAGTTCACTATTCCCTTCTTCTGGGGGTGTCCTGGGACTGTGCAGCTTGCCCAAGGCCACCCAGGCTGGCTCTTATCCCTGGAGGCATAGTAACGAATTAAACTCCAAACATCTGGCTCCACAGCCACTGCGCTCTCTCTCAAGACAGCATAAAAAGCTCTAAAAATACAAATTCAAATAGAAATATATAGAATTACTTGTATCCACCTTCCACTGTTCCTCCAGCCCAAATATATTGAAATTCTGCTGTCTAAACCAAGGTGGCAAGGGCCTTATCAATATTTCTTTCCAGCTCTCCTGCTCTTTCACAACTCAAATATTGACTCACACACACACCCTTCCTGAGAGTTCCCCACCCACTGGGCTGAACCAAAATGTTCATAGGTTTTACACCCATAAAGCCACCCAGCTTTCACTTTCACAAGCAGGCCAAATAACTGATTTCCAGAAAAGCGAAACCTAAGCCATCCAGGTTAGGTTTCTGTTTCCCACAAACCAGGTGTTTGACGAGAATGCTAAACCGGGAAAGGAGAACATTGTAAACAAGACCTGAAAAGACTTGATCATGTTAGCCATGTGAATCTAAGTCCCCCCCCCCCGAGGTGTTCTTGCCACTCCCTCAAGAGATTTACCGGGAGAAATTTTGCTCACCTTTGTTAGCAACAAAAATAAAGCAAAGCATGCTGCGTCTATACCACCCCCTAATGCTAAAAGCACTCTCTGGGCTGTTTCCAGTTTAAATATCCAGACTACCCATTTCTTACCCCTACTGGTTACTCATTTTACAAACCTTGGAAGGATGAGCCAGCTACCTGAATCCATTGGGATCAAGCGCAGGTTGTGAGCAGAGTTCTGATTGCAGTACAGTGGTGCCTCGCTAGACGATGATAATCAGTTCCACTGAAATAGCTGTTTAGCGAAATCATCGTCTAGCAAAAAGAATTTTCCCATTGGAATGTAGTGAAACCTGTTTAATGCATTCCGATGGGGAAGAATCATTGTCTAGCGAATATCAACCATAGGAAAGCCGCTTTGCGAACCACCGATCAGCTGTTTAAATAGCTGTCTTGTGAAGCTTAGATCCCGAAAACACCCGTTTTGTGAGCACGGAGGGAGCTGTCAAAATCATCGTCTAGCGAAAATTGGTTTGCGAAGCAGGGACTAAACATTGTCCAGTGAAATTCCCCCATAATAATCACTGTTTTGCGAATTGCTATAACAATCACAAAAAGTCAATGGCTAGCGAAAAAACGCAAACTGATTTTCGCTAGACGACGATTTTGACAGCTCCCTCCACGCACGCAAAACAGGTGTTTTCGGAACCTGAGCTTCGCAAGACAGCAATTTAAACAGCTGATCGGCGGTTCACAAAGCGGCTTTCCTATGGCCGATCTTCGCTAGACAATGACGATTCTTCCCCATTGGAACGCATTAAACAGGTTTCAATGCATTCCAATGGGGAAATGCTTTTCGCTAGACAATGATTTCGCTAAACAGCGATTTCAGTGGAATGGATTATCATCGTCTAGTGAGGCACCACTGTATTCAAAGCAGTAAGACACAGCAATCCATTTCAAGAATCCTATTCAGACGTCCTATCACTCGGGGAAAGCTTGCCTAAAGAGAAAGGTCTTTGCCTGCTTTCAGAAGGACAGAAAAAATGGAGCCAGCAAAGATGGGAGGAAGTTTGATCAATCTGGGAGTAGCAACAGATTTTACTTATGTTTATTAGTTTTGTTTTATTTAAATATGTAGTTTTGTTTTAGGTTTGCGTTATTCAGTGCAAGTTATAAAGTTTTTGTTGACTGCTTTTAATGTTTTTAAGTTTCACTGTTAGCTCCCTGGGGATTATTCACTGTGTAGTCATATGCAAAAAGATACAGATAACGTAAACAAGATCTAAATGTTGATCGATCAGAACAACGCAGCTTGTTTAATTTATGTAATTTCCTCATATTCGCCCTGCCTCCTTCATGTCTGGACAATACAGGGGTGTAGCCTGTATCTTTCATCAGAAAAGACGTTGCTTTCGAGTTCAACAGCAGAAGCAGAAGACAACACAAGGAGAAGCCATCCTGATATATTTTGCGAATTAAAACCTTCTGTTTCATTGACTCCTCAAATCCATCCTTAGCCATATACGGTAAGACAAAGGCACCGGATTGTAACTCCTTTACTTGTTTCCTTGTTTTTTAATGTTTCACATTTTGAAAAGATGAACAGATTTTCAAACAGGAAAGGTTGAAGGAAACGGATTGCAACCTGCAACAACTCAACCTGAGTCTTTAAGGAGCCACATACAGTATTTCTGTTTTTAATATGCTTTCAGAAGAGTTATATCTATAGTAGTGTTCAACTACATTAAATGCATAATATGCAGAATATGTTTTCATGATGCACAGTATGTGTGTGGGCCATAGTCTGGATAGGCAAGGATAGTACATGGGTAGATAGTTAAGCCTTCACAAGTTGTTTACTTCCTCAAATGTAGCTTCTCCTGTGAGGAAATGAACTGCCACCACCACCAAAAAACCTCTATTACTACTGTCAACACAGTTTTCTCTCTTTTTTTAAAGACCTGTACTAGAGAGAGTTGGTAGTGAATGAACAGTATAGCTACATGTGGCACATTGAACATAGCATGTACTTTGTCCATCAGAACAAATCTGCCAAGGAAACAGTCTGTGTTGTACTGAGAGAGGTATCTACTCTCCACTTGGAAAACTTGTTAATTGGGCAGAAATAGCATTTCCGATTTCTGTCGAAGGCTGGAGACTGCAGAAGGAACAATGAAGCCCAAACCCCAGAGAGCTGAAAAGTTACTGCCTCAGTGGGCTAATGGTATAACTGGCCCTGTGTGACAAGATTCTGGCAACAGACTCTGCGCAGTGAATGCAGAACATTCCGTTTTAAAAAGTGCTTGTTGTCTTGTTCTCATGCTGGAGAGAGAAATCCAGGTGTGTTCATGAAATCAGAACAGGCTGCCTGAATGTATCTACATAATCTGTTTCACCAACAACAAAAGCAAAAAGCAAAGTGTGCTGCTTATATACCGCCCCATAGCGCTTCAAGCACTCTCTGGGCAGTTTACAAGTTAATTATGCAGGCTACACATTGCCTCCCCCCCCAGCAAGCTGGGTACTCATTTTACCGACCTTGAAAGGATAGAAGGCTGAGTCAACCTTGAGCTGCTACCTGGGATTGAACCCCAGGTCGTGAGCACAGTTTTGGCTGCAATAGAGCGGTTTAACCACTGCGCCACAAGGCTCTTGTGTGTTAATGAGATTTCCTTCCCAGCCTAATAAATGGATAGAAATATCACCAATACAGTGGCTTTGAAGTGCAGCAATACAGTTGTGCCCCACTTAACGATTACCCCGCATTATGATGAATCCGCTTTACTACAACGTTTTTGCGATCGCTATTGCGATTGCAAAACGATGATCTAAATGGGTTCCCTGCTTCGGGAACCGATTTTCGCTTTACAACTATCAAAAACAGCGGATCATAAGGTTTTCAGAATGGCCGCTGGGTGCTTAAAATGGCTCCCCGCTGTGCTTAGGGACAGATTCCTCGGTATACAGGCACCGAAAATGGCCGCCATATGGAGGATCTTCGCTGGATGGTGAGTTTTCAGCCCACTGGAGCACACTGAACGATTTTCAAAGCGTTTCAGTTGGCTTTTTAATTTTGCTTTATGATGTTTTCGCTTAACAGCGATTTTCCTGAAACGGATTATCATCATTAAGCGAGGCACCACTGTACATTTACTGCTGGTGGAAGCATGTCTTAAGTAGATTAATCTTCCTCACATAGATTGTTAATAGAAAATGTCCTATGAACATTATCTATCAAGCATTTTATTTCTAATTATTTATACCCTTAAGGGGCATAAGGTGATATACACAGCTAGAGATCACATATACTTAAAGTCACAATATGACACACTGCCTTCTAAGACTTAAGGGGCATAAGGCGATATACACAGCTAGAGATCACATATACTGTACTTAAAGTCACAATATGACACACTGCCTTTTTTTCTTTCTCAGATAGGTTGGACCATCAGAAACTGCTGCAATGGGTAGTGCAATCTCAATACCAGCTGTATTCGATGAACTCAGAGAACTAAAAGTTTCTTTGGATGGAAAGACTCTTTCTGATGTGGCAGCTGAAATTCAGAGAGAGATGGATTTATTAGAGAACACTGTCCTTGATATTGCCATCACGGGGGAAACAGGTGTTGGGAAATCATCCCTTATCAATGCTCTGAGGGGTGTAGATGATGGCGAAAAGGATGCAGCTGAAACTGGAGTAACACAGAGAACCATGAATCCAGAAAGATATTCATACCCCGGATTCTCCAAAATATCTATTTGGGATCTACCAGGAATTGCAACAACCGACTTCCGTCCAGAAGACTATCTGGAGAAGGTCAACTTCAGCCAGTATGATTTCTTCATTGTTGTGATTGCCGAGCGCTTCACTCTCAGCTATAACAAGCTGATCCATGAAATCCTGAAAATGAAGAAGAAATGTTATTACATACGCTCCAAAGTGGATTGCAGTTTACTTGCGGAACAGAGGAAGCCAAATTTTAACGAGGAGAAAACCCTTCAGGAGATAAGAAATTATTGCTGTTCTCAGTTAGAAGCAGCAGGAGAGCCTCTCGGAAGAGTTTTTCTAATATCCAGTTGGCATTCGGACCAGTATGATTTCCCATCATTGATGGAGACCCTAGAAAATGAACTGAGCCATCTCAAGAGGCATGCTTTAATTCTGGCTATGCCAGCTTTCTCGAGAGAAAACCTGAGAAAGAAAAGAGCTGCTATTGAGGGACTTATATGGAAAATCTCTCTGGTGTCTTGTTGTGTCGGGGCCACACCTGTCCCTGGACTCTCTTTCGCTTGCAATGTAGCGATGCTGATGAAAGTAATGAGAGATTTCTGCTTAGCGTTTGGCTTGGATGAAGATTCCCTGCGTTCACTTGCCAAGCGGGTTGATAAATCTGTTGATATATTCAAGTCTGGTATTGAAAAATCTCCACTGGACGATGACATCACAACGACGTACGTCATCGGCTGCTTCTCCAAGTCCTTGGTGTGTCGAACGCTGACGTTGTTAGAACTGGCTCTGGATATTGTACCAGTGGTGAGTTCTCTAACTGGGGGAGGACTTTCTTTCGTAACCACCTTCTATCTGCTGAAGAGCTTTTTGAAAGACCTTGAGGAAGACGCCGAGAACGTTTATGCGAAAGCTGCTGAACCTTCAGATTCGGAAAGGGAGATGCAATATTTAGCATGACGAAACACAGCCTGGATGAGAAACTCTTTCAAGCCGGGAGGAGGAAGTATTTTCTTTAATATCATAATCCACCATGGATTGGTTAGGAGAATGGCAACATATAAATGTTTTAAATAAAATAATTAACAAAAAATGAATAATTAACAGCGTTCCTTGGACATTTATTGGAAACATTCCCTTACTTAGTTCTTAAATCTGAAAAGTTTTCCCAAAGCAACTGTATATGGGCACATACCAAGCTGTAGGTCTGCTTTCTTATGTCTTCCAGAAAACTGTAACCAGTGCATATATTCCTCAAGGACCAATGAATTACTGCATACTTTTGTTTCTTTTTAGAACTGTATAAAAACTTTAACCCTGTTGATCTCGGGGTCCCCCACCCTGCTGGGCACCCAACAAACTCTCCACTTATTATTATTGCTCGAGACTTGGTTTACTGTAATAGAATTAGCTGAGACACCGAACTCCAGCAGTAACACTAGGAAGACTTATTATTTTGTCGAGTAAAATTGTCCCCGGTGCAAAGAGGATAAGAGCAGGGGGGGCGAGGATAGATGGACAGCCTGCCCGCTTCCCCTCTTTTTTTTAATTTTTACTTTTTTAGGTGGTGGGGTGTTGAGTAGAGGGAGGCCAGATCTTAAGGGCCAGGCTTAAAATGAGCCAGGAGGAAATTGGCCAGGGCCTGCTTTTCTCCTGATCCTTTGGATTCCAACCTGTCAATAGCTGTCATTCCATTTAGTCTTCCCCGTGCAACGATTCTGCTCCCTTTCAAAGAGGTTAACTTTACTTATGCCCTCACCCCAGCAACTTGGGATATAACCTTTCTCTTCCTTAGCCATTTTTAGTAGGGGTATTAAGAGTCAAGGCAAGGTCCTTTCTCACTCCACTTCTCTTGATCTAATTATTTCTGTATGTCTTTATATGGACGTATCTCTTTGCTGTGGCTCAGTTCCCCAGCCCCACCCCAAAAACCTTGCATGGAATTGCAGAAGGAAATTCTACTGCCTTTAATGGGGCTTACTTGTAAGAGGGGGTGTGCTTGAGTGCAGGTTTACAGGCCAGCTTTTTCCATTAGTATTTGTCCCAGCTTCTTCTTTCCCCCCTCTGTACAAGTTTGTGTGTTTGTGTGTTGCATGCATGCATGGATATATAAACATGTACTGTACATGGGTTTTGTTAAATGCAGCATAGACCCCTGGCTGAGATGGTTTTAGGGGAGATGGCTTCAGAAGATGGATTCATGCAGAAGATAAAGAATATTAGGAGGCTGAATTCGGATTCTGTACTGAGGGGGACAATGTCTTTAATAGACCAGCCAAGAGAGCACAAAATATCAGCAGCAATAAACAAAACTGGGCAAGGTAAATTTTGGGAACCCTGTCCCTTCGCCATCAAGACATTAAAGAGTAATGCTGGGTAGAGAGGAGTTAGGTGAGAACACCATTATGTCTAAGTGATAAAATCTTCCCCAAAGCATGCAGTTTTGCTGTTTCTGCACACTTTTTTGTGATTTTTCCTTGGTGGGCCTGTCAAGGCATCTCACCTCAAGATGGAGTTTGTTCTGTGCTGGTAGCTTTCAGGGGGTCTGTTTCTGGTTCAGCCCAAAACCCAGATTTGAAGGCGGGAAGCGTGCAACCCATCAAAAGCATTTTTTGCTGCTGCTAGTATTAATTTCCTAATCCTAGTGGAGGTCAAGAGATAGAAACAAATCTTGACTGTTATGTGACAGCCATTTTGGATTCCTTGGTTTGCCAGATTGCAAAGGCAAATCTTCAGCCATTTGTAATGGAAAGTCACATTTGCAAATTACAGCACTGCATTTCCTGCTAGGTGACCAGATTTACTCTTTTTCATTTACCCAGATACTAGTGTAGCTACTGCAGGTTACCAAGTCCATTTTATATTGAGAGGGTTGAGTCTCTCCCTGTGCGCTTCTCATCATCATGCAGGGTCCCATTACTAGTCTGTTCCTCTTCTTCATGCTTCTACCTACAGGTAAGTACCAAATGGGGGGAATCGCTCCCTATGGCGTGGTGGTGGTGGTGGAGGAATTATTTCACTGCAGCCAATAGGTTGCAAACAGAACCAAACTGTAACAACTGTGCCCCTTCATTAACTTATGCAAACAGGAGATGGGTTGATCGAAGGGAAATGTGCAAATGAAAAGGGAGTGAAAATTATATTGTCATCAAACTGTCAGAGGCCAGATAAAACCTCTCCTGTTTACGTAAAATGATTTAGTATTGGGTTATGTGGGACTGACACAGAGGCTCATTTCAAAAACATGAATATAAATATAAATACTTCACTCTTGTATAAGTACACTATATAAATATTAGTATGAGCTTGAATCGGGCCGTATCCCTTTTTGCAATCCTTCTAACACAGGCAGGCTATAACCTTGCTCTGCGGAAAGGCTTTTTCTTAGTTAAGTGGCTGACTCAAAGGGGCTCCAGCAGATGGACTTTGTCCAGCAAATGGACTTCATGCAACCCTCTCTCTCTCCTCTTTCCAGGTGTCTCACTGACCTGCGAAATCTGCAGTGGAGATACCAACTGCACGGGTGAGAAGAAGGCTTGCCCAGAGGGTCAAGACGCATGTGCCATTAATTTGATGCAAGGCTTCCGAGGTGGGTGAGGAGGGTCGTAAACCAGGGGAGGGAAAAGAATGGGACAGAAACGAATTCTCCATTTTTCCCCTTGCCCTGCTGTCTGCTCTGACCGTTGGCCATGTATTGGGACCTCAAACGGAGGTCTTTCGCAGACTGCCAGAGTTGTGTCACCTTGCGGACTCCAACCCAGAACAGCAGTCTATGAAAGCTGATGCTTATTAAAATTTGGCAATCTTTAAGCCACTGATGGTTTCTTCGTTGGCCTGACTACTATAGACTTAACATGGCAACATCTTCAGGATTGATTTT